CACTGATCCCCAATGTAAGGTTTTCCTTCCCCACTGATCCCAATGTAAGATTTCCTTCCCTCTGAATGTAAGGTTTTCCTTGATCCCCACTGATCCCCAATGTAAAGTTTTCCTTCCCCTCTGATTCCCAATGTAAGGTTTTCCTTCCTCTCTGATCCCCAATGTAAGGTTTTCCTTCCCCACTGATCCCCAATGTAAGGTTTTCCTTCCCTACTGATCCCCAATGTAAGGTTTTCCTTCCCTACTGATCCCCAATGTAAGGTTTTCCTTCCCCGCTGATCCCCAATGTAAGGTTTTCCTTCCCTATCCCCAATGTAAGGTTTTCCTTCCCCGATCCCCAATGTAAGGTTTTCCCCATCCCCAATGTAAGGTTTTCCTTCCCCTACTGATCCCCAATGTAAGGTTTTCCTTCCCCACTGATCCCCAATGTAAGGTTTTCCTTCCCACTGATCCCCAATGTAAGTTTTTTTCCTTCCCCAATGATCCCCAATGTAAGGTTTTCCTTCCCTACTGATCCCCAATGTAAGGTTTCCTTCCCCTCTGATCCCCAATGTAAGGTTTTTCTTCCCCTCTGATCCCCAATGTAAGGTTTTCCTTCCCTACTGATCCCCAATGTAAGGTTTTCCTTCTCTATTGACCACCAGTGTAAGTTGACCTTTCCCCACTGATCACCAATGTAAGGTTTTCCTTCCCTACTGATACCCAATGTAAGGTTTTCCTTCCCTACTGATCCCCAATGTAAGGTTTTCCTTCTCTATTGACCACCAGTGTAAGTTGACCTTTCCCCACTGATCACCAATGTAAGGTTTTCCTTCTCCACTGATCACCAATGTAAGGTTTTCCTCCTCAATTGACCATCAATGAAAGGTGATCCTTTACTGTGACCCTTCGTCACTGACCATCAATGTAAGGGATGGCATTACACTGACCACAGATAACAGAAGGCATTGATCCACTGATCACCAAGGTGGAGTAATGCTACAGTATTGCATTTTTTTCTGGCTACTATTATAATATGTCCATCAATTTTTATTACTGAAAATAATTTTGTCCCACAGAGCGGGGGTGTTAAGTGATTTGCTTTGGGTGTAAATACTCTAGGTACATCACATTATTCTATTTGTTTATCTAAAGCATACTGATCATACTAATGTACCATGTGCTGGAGCCGTAATCATAGCATTTAAGGGTTCCTCCGGTGTAAAACAAAGTTCAGAAAGGCTGCTCCATGGTCTTCCTAAATTTATTGCAAGAGATAATGGAAACACTGTATAAGCTATATTTAATTTTAATTAAATTCTGCAAATGCGTATTATTTCCCAGGGTTACTTATTGCCTGCAGTCACAGAAGGACATTGATTTCCCACTCTCACAACTTCATGATTTTATGGACTTGCAATTTGTTTCTAGTGATATATTAAGTGAAATGTTATTTGTCAAATAACTTTTGTTAAACATTATCTGGAAATAGTTTACAGGTGAACAGATCCCAAAGTAATACCAGATAGAAAAAACGTAAAAGGCAGAAAATATAAAGCAACATGATGCCCATTCAACTTAGCTACCAACATGATGCCCATTCAACTTAGCTAGCAACACGATGCCCAAAACTTAACTGTTCATCTCAAGGAATCATATAAACAAACAGTTCATATAACGGCTGTCTTCCTGCGGACCCTACAAATACTGTGGGGGCCTCAGACATGACAAGAAGGGTAATAAAGCATATAGGCAAACTGTAATATTGTTTACAAGATGGAAAAAGGAAGTACTTGACAATATAAGAGTGGTCAAATAGGTTTGGACATGGTCACGTAATGGCAAAGGGCAATAAATTAGAATAAAATAAAATAGAGAGGAAAAAAAAAAGGGGGGGGGGTATAGGGGAGGGGGAAATAATTGATAGGGAAGGGATAATTACTTGTACTAGAACCCAGGAAAGTACTCAAAAGACCTCAAGGATCCAGGGGCATCAGTGTTAGGTGAAATTGAATAGAACTCTTCTATTTAGACAAAAATTAGCTGTACCAGCGGAGTAGAAAAGATACCTTTATCTTGGACTCATAGAAGTACGTTCCTTTACTGGAATATCTCTGCTCTGGGTTGTGTTCACTGTTTAAGCCAATGAAGAGTGCACCTAATTTTCTACAAAATCTTATGAGAACATACATGCCTGGACACTCTGCGAAAATTCCAATAAAGAGGGAGTAAGAGAAAAACACAAAGGTATTTTTGGCTTCCACATGTTAAAAGAAGGTAAGATCCTTAAAAAAGGTACCACATAACCTCTGTCAGGAATGGACTTGCCAGTGGTGGTGGGACTCACCTGCCTTGTGGGCTGCAGTACCAGGGCTGGCCAGCGGGTGCTCTCAGCAACCAGAGGCTCACTCCTGCAATGAGCCATCACCTGAGGCTGATTACAGCAGGTGTATTTAAGAAATGGCCAGGCCTGTGATCAGTGCCTTGGTGTATGTTTCCCATGAGCCCCTGTACCTGCATCCTGTCTGCTTCCTGCCTGATCCTGATTCTGCTTTAATCCTGACTCTGCATGAACTTTTGTAATGTACAGCGCTGAGCGAACTATTGGCGCTTTATAAATACTGTATAATAATAATAATAATAACTCTGCTGTCCTGACCTCGGCTATTCCTGACTACGCTTCCGCCTGCTCCTTGTACCTTGCCTGCCCGTTTGCTACCGACCCGGCCTGCCCGACTACGTTTAGTATTGTTCTTATTGTTATCTGTTGGAGGTTTGGTTGCACTGTGTTTATGTTTAGTCTTGCACTGCGTTTATGTACTGTTTAGTCTTTAATAAATTGTATTGTTTATACTATACCTGGAGCCTGTGTTTCCCTGTGTCAGTCCACACATTTCTGGTCATACCCGGATCCCTAACAACCTCTTATGCACTTTATATAGTCCAAACAGAAGGTAGAACCATGCATGTAAACACAGGCCTACTGATATGGACCCACTCTGATCCAGGGTAAAAAAAACTTACCACATATCTGTGGCAGAATCTGAATGGCCTGGGCATTTTATACTGCTGGATGTGGGTTAGCAAAAAGTTGCGTCATGATCGCATGCATAGGCAGATTAAGTCATCATGTGTTCAGGTTTCCCATTCTGCCCAAAAATATTTCAGGGAATTTGCTTCCCATAAGTCTACCATATGTTTTTCTAAATGATAATTTAAATATGAATTCCAGACAAGGCATATTTCTACTTAGTTCTGCTTGGACTTATGCAACAAGCTCCCTTGTCTCCTCCTCCCATGCTCATCTCCAGGACTTCTCCAGAGCTTCCCCCATCCTCTGGAATTCTCTACCCCAATTTATCAGACTATCGCCTGCTCTGCTCACTTTTAGGCGATCTCTGAAAACCTATCTCTTCAGGGAAGCCTATCCTGCCCTCAGCTAATAATGGAATCTTCTACTCCTCCTACCAGTCCATCCCCCACAGTTACTACCTTTTGTACCACTAGCCCCTCCCTCTTAGATTGTAAGCTCCAAGGATCAGGGCCCTCCTGTCCCTCTTGTATTGAACTGTATTGTTGCTTTATTGTCTCCCATTATATTGTAAAGCGCTGAGCAAACGTTTGGCGCCATATAAATCCTGTATAATAATAATAATTATGTATAAATAATCAATATTGATGCAGCGCTAATACCAGAAGTATTAGTCCAGCGCTCCAAATCATTGGATTTTCATGTTCCAATCCCCTCCATGGACACAGGTGTATACAATCAAGCCCCTAGGCATGCAGACTGCTTCTACAAACATTTGTAAAAGAATGGGTCGCTCTCAGGAGCTCAGTGAATTCAAGTGTGGTACTGTGATAGGTTGCCTCCTGAGAAATATGTACATTTCCTGGCTACTAAATATTCCACACTCAACTGTTAGTGGGATTATAACAAAGTGGAAGCAACTGGGAACAACAGCAACTCAGCCACGAAGTGGTAGGCCACGTAAAAGCGGGGTCAGCGCATGCTGAAGCGCACAGTGTATAGAAATCGCCAACTGTCTGCAGAGTCAATAGCTAAAGACCTCCAAACTTGGTGTGGCCTCCAGATGAGCCCAACAACAGTGCGTAGAGAGCTTCATGGAATGGGTTTCAATGGCCGAGCTGCTGCATCCAAGCCTACATCACCAAGTACGTTGGATGCAGTGGTGTAAAGCATGCCGCCACTGGACTCAAGAGCAGTGGAGACATGTTCTTTGGAGTGATGAATCACACTTCTCTGTCTGGCAATCTGATGGATGTGTCTGGGTTTGGTGGTTGCCAGGAGATCGGTACTTGCCTGACTGCATTGTGTCTAGTGTAAAGTTTGGCAGAGGGGGGATTATGGTGTGGGGTTGTTCTTCAGGGGTTGGTGAATTTCCCTAAAGGGGGCACAGATAGCGATACTTGAAAAGTGTTATAATCCCCCTCTATTCTATCCAAAACTAAAAAAAATGTTGCTTTTAGTTATAGTTTAAGGATCTTAAGTGAGGATAAAGAACCTTAGTACATACATTTAGGCCAAGCAGGATAAAGGACATTATGAAAATTGTGGGTGTATTATAGATCCATCTATCTACCTAGAACAGTGGTTCTCAACCTGTGGGTCGCGACCCCTTTGGGGGTCGAACAACCTTTTCACGGGGGTCACCTAAGACCATCGGAAAACACATATTTCCGATGTGTAAAGAGCAGCTACTGTGTAGAAAGCAGCTGCTGTGTTGAAAGCAGCTACTCTGTTAAAAGCAGCTACTGTGTTGAAAGCAGCAGTATTGGAGGTAAAACGACACTTCATGAATTATAATTACTGGGTAAATAATTTTATGATTGGGGGTCACCACAACATAAAGAACGGTGTTAAAGGGTCGCGGCATTAGGAAGGTTGAGAACCACTGACCTAGAAAGAATGGTTGAAGAAAAGGATCATTTGTAACTCAAAATAGAAATAGTTTATTACGGTTTAGAGACTTTTAAATGTTTAGTAGATTCTTGCTTACCCCCTGGGTGGCTTTCGGTCTTCTCGGTGTCTCTTGCTGGTGTTGGCTGAGCAGAATACACAGATGATAAAAGATTAAGAGAATTGACCAGTTGATTCTGGATAGAACTGAGTTTGGAAGCGGGCTGTTTTATGGCACTAGCCAGGTCAGGATATCCATGTTCCAGACACGTCCATTGCTCCTGCAGAAGATCCTGTATCCGTTTTACATACTGTCCAATAGAAGCATCTGTGGGAGGCCGACTGTCAGCCGAGCAATGTTTATTGTCACTCAGAACTTCATAACCACCGGCTTTGTTTTCACAAATTTGAAGCAAATGGGTTTGGGAGTCCACCATCTCATGCGCGGTTTCACCTTCCATGGCACTAGTCTTTGTAACTTTCTCTGTTTCCATTTCACATCCGGCAACCTGCTGGACCATCACTACCTTTGTCAATGGATCTGATGTTTCACCAGCATGTTCATGCAGTTCAATGCCATCTTTGCTTTCATCTGGAGGTTGATCCAGATCTGCTGGCAGTACACCACATGCCACCGACTGAGTCGCAACTGAAATATTGGCATATGTGTTTTTGTGTAGAGTTTCCTTTTTGACCTTCGTTTCAATTTCCTCCGTGTTCACTGCTGTGTCTTTGTACTGTCTGTCTATGGATTGTCTTCTGGTTTCTTCCATTGTTTCCATCATTCTTGTCAGATCTGCAATATATACATCCTTTGCCTTCAATTCATTGCTCTGTTTCTCCACCAGCACCCTGAGATTCTGCACCTCGCTGGTACGGTCATCCAGTTGTTCAGTCAGTTCTGCAATTTGCTGATTAACACCTGAATACAGAGAGTTATTTAAATTGTTGATGCTTGACTGATCATGGGCATCATGTACTCCATTTTCAATGTCTTCAACTTTGGCCTTGCTTTCAGAAATGGTCAATTTTATAGCCTCCTGCTCCTTTCTGCTATTAACAAGTTGGGAAAGAGATTCAAGTTGAGAATTTAATTTATTGTTTTCTTCCTCAAGTGCAGATATAGTTTGTTTTAGTTCGGGAATAGTTTTCAACTGTTCTTCAAGGTCTTTTATTCTTTTGAACGCAGCCACAATCTGCTCATCGGAATGTTGGGAGCGTGTGGGATCTTTCATGAACTCCAGCCTGCTTTCGCTGAAGCTGTTTGTAGACTCTGGCAGTTTTAAGTACTGGTTTTGGTCTGAAGAAGTTGTGCTTTGTGGTAGGCTGGCTGGAAGGCTAGAAGCTCTTGAAAATTGGGGCCTGCAGCTGCTAAACTCTTCAGGGGCCAACTCTCCAAAGGGTTTGTGAGCATCGTATATATTATCCTTCCTTCTATAATTTAGCTCATGCACATATCTCAGACGTACAGCAGACTCATTTCCTGAAAACATTTCGTTGTCCTTGGGTCCAGCTCTATAGCTACTGGGGCTCCAGGTATTACTGGAGGCTGCAGAGTAACTCTGGGAGCCATTGTCCGGAACACTAAAGTTTCGAGGAAGAGTGCTAAATTTGGACTGTTTGGCTCTTCTGTGGATGTGTATTCTCTTGATGGTATTACCCCTTTCAATATCGTGCACATACTTTAGGAAGTCAAGGTCCAGGTGAAAGCCATAAGGGGTCTCCACAGAATAGGACATGCGATTTTCTTTCTGCTCCGTCTTTGATGAACCATTTTCTCCTAATGTGGAAAAAGGACAGAAGAAAGAACATAAATATCAAAATTTTAAAATGGATTAACGCTTATTAACCTACCAGTATAGTTAGAGACTACAGCACCAAGAGAAGGCCGATAGGAGCACAAGAAGAATGTACAAACTGACTTGAAATTTACTTTTTTTTAAAATAGATCCCACAGTATGCATATTTGAAAAAAATATTTCAACATCCTGTTCTCTAACAAGTGCCAGGACAAAGTCATTTAGTGCCCTGGGCAAACATACCAAACTGTGCCCCTCCCACCACCACTGATTATGAGCATTACATGTCAGCAAAAATCACCCCCCCCCAAAAAAAAGAAATAAAGCACTAATCTGCCTGCTAACCCCCAAGCATAAATTCCCTCTCCTCTCAGTACATGGATACTTGGGGATCCTGGGAGGAGATGGGGCGGGTAAGCATGCCCTGCACAGTCCTTACCCAGAAGCACTGCAGTAGCAGTAGGATGAGCTACAGCAGGGGTAATCAAACTTTCTGAACAAAGGGCCAGTCTTCTGACTTAAGGGGGGGGGGGACTGTAACCAGTGTGAGTGGAAAATGCAGCACAAATAGTGCCCAATCATTGGTGTCAGTAGAAGGAATAGCACCCTATTAATGGTATCAGTGAGAGGAATAGTGCCCCAACATTGGTGTCAGTGGAAGGAATGGTTCCCCAACATTGGCATCATTAGAAGGACTGGTTCCCCAACATTGGCGTCATTAGAAGGACTGGTGCTCCAACATTGGCGTCATTATAAGGACCGGTGCTCCAATATTGGCGTCAGTAGAAGGACCGGTGCTCCAATATTGGGGTCAGTAGAAGGACTGGTGCTCCAATATTGGCGTCATTAGAAGGACTGGTGCTCCAATATTGGCGTCAGTAGAAGGACCGGTGCTCCAACATTGGCGTCATTGGAAGGACTGGTGCTCCAATATTGGCGTCATTAGAAGGACTGGTGCTCCAATATTGGCGTCAGTAGAAGGACCGGTGCTCCAATATTGGCGTCAGTAGAAGGACCGGTGCTCCAATATTGGCGTCAGTAGAAGGACCGATGCTCCAATATTGGCGTCATTAGAAGGACCGGTGCTCCAACATTGGCGTCATTGGAAGGACCGGCGCTCCAAAATTGGCGTCATTAGAAGGACCGGTGCTCCAACATTGGGGTCAGTGGAAGGACCGGCGCTCCAATATTGGCGTCATTAGAAGGACCGGTGCTCCAACATTGGCGTCATTAGAAGGACTGGCGCTCCAATCTTGGGGTCATTAGAAGGACCGGTGCTGCAACATTGGTGTCAGTGGCAGGAATAGTGCCCCACATTTAGTGTTAGCGAGAGTAATAACGCTCTATATTTTATATCAGTGGATGGAATTATGTACAAGTGCAGGAGTGCAGCCATTCTGGCACACAGGCGCTGTGCCGGATTGTAAACTGACCTGCACTTGTGCTGCTCATCATACATTCCAAAAAAGACTCAGCCCGGGTTCACACCAATGTGGTGCGGAATTCTCAGCGTTTTCTGTGTGAATTCTGTACCACATCACAATCGCACCCCGTTCATGCGAACCGCTGCGGGTGTGTATGTTAAAATAACAACACCCCGAAACCGGTCCGCAAAACGCGGTGCGATGTGCAGAATCGGATCGCATAGGTGTGAATAGCCATGCGATCCGATTCTAGTGCGGACCAAAAAAAGGGTCCTGCACCTTTTTGGTGCGGGTGCGGTGTGATTAGAGCCATGGTTCTAATCGCAATGCACACAAATCACATGTAATTTGTACAGGAATGCGGTGCGATGCGAATCACATGCGATGTACCACACCGCATATATGTGAACCCGGGCTGAGAGCAGATTTCTTTTAATTCAGAAGAGTTCTTGCATATCTCTTCAGCAATAAACAGCCTGCCTGCTCACAGTTTTTGACAGCAGGACTTTGGTTCGCTTTAACCATTTCCCAACACAGCTACACTCAGGACATGCTGTGAATGAGAACTGTCACAGTTGCTTGTGCTCTCAACTGAATTGTCAAGCCATCAAATGGCTGGTGTCATAACTGATCACATCTGCAGCACGGTGACAACTGTAACAGAGGCTGAGATGCCAGCTTCTTTGGCTGCAAAGGATAGAAAGGTTTTGTTTTGCTTCAACTCCCAGAATACATCTTTCAGTTCTGACAATTTTTTTCAAGCACCGAGAAAAAGAGAATTTGAGGCCCCTGAAAATTTTAATCAGACTTTATTGAATAAATAAATATCTTTCAGACTCGGGAACAGTGGTCTGGGGGCTTATACTTTATCTGCACTCTTTAACCCCTCGCCCTCCAGAGGATTTCCCCCCCTTCCTGACCAGGCCATTTGTTTTTTTGCGATACGGCGCTGCGTTACTTTAACTGACAATTGTGCGGTCATGCAATGCTGCACCTGAATGAAATGTATGTCCTTTTTTTTTGCCCCACAAATAGAGCTTTCTTTCAGTGGTATTTGATCACCTGTGCGGTTTTTCTTTTTTGCGCTATAAACTAAAAAAGACCGACAATTTAAAAAAAAAAAAAGAAAACAACATTGTTGACTTTCTGCTATTAAATATGTCCAGTACAAAAAAAAAAAAAAAATGTAAAAATCAAATTTTGTCAAATTTTAAGCCAAAATGTATTCTGCGACGTCTTTTCTAAAAAAAAAAAATCCAAATACGTGTAAATTAATTGGTTTCTGTGAAAGTTATAGCATTTACAAATGGCGATATATATATATACTGGGATTTTTTAATTTTTTTTTTTTAATACTAGTAATGGCGGCTATCAGCAACATATTGTGGGACTGCGGCGGGCATTCTGACACTGGGGGGGGGGGGGGACTGACTAACTGCCACTGACATCCCTAATGACACCAACACAGTGATCAGTCCTAATAAAAAAAGCGCTAACGCTGGACTAATGGCACTGGGCAGGAAGGGGTTAACATCTGGGGCGATCAATGGGTTAACTGTGTGCTGTTTTACTGTGTAAGTATGCAGAGCAATACAAAGCAGTGTGCTGGTGCTGACAGGAAGAGAACAGGAAGAGATCCGTATTGTTTTCATACAGACCTCTCCCCTGTCAGTGTTCCTCGGTGATCGCAGGCAGGGAATCTCCGGCCAAGACCCGGTGATCGACAGCTGCAGCGTGGGTAGGGTGACACGCGCGCCCTCTACCCGGAAATACAAAATTGTGTGTGTGTATATATATATATATATATATATATATATATATAAATACATACATACACACACATACATATACACACACACACACACAAGTGATTTTGCGCAGCCCTGTCACCCTGTTGCAGTAGTTCTGCTATAGGGTGGTCAGGAAGAGGTTAAATACACATTGGGGTTGATTTACTAAAACTGGAGATTGCAAAATCTGGTGCAGCTCGGCATAGAAACCAATCAGCTTCCAGGTTTTTTTTTGTCAAAGCTTAATTGAACAAGCTGAAGTTAGAAGCTGATTGGCTCCCATGCAGAGCTGCAGCAGATTTTGCACACCCCAGTTTTAGTAAATGGACCCCAGTATGTCTTCCTTAAGGCCACATTCACACGGGCAGCCTGGGGCGGTTTATCTGCTGCATTCAGATGCCGCTTAAATGCTGCCTGTAGATGCAGCAACATTATGGGATTGATTTTCTAAAGACAAGTAGGCTGTGCACTTTGTAATCACAGTTGCACCCTGCAAGGGCATTAGCCGCACAGCTTAGTAAATGAGGGGAAAAGTCTCTTTGAAAATAACACCCAATCATATGCAAGGAAATTTTTTTTTAAAAAACAGCATTTTTGCCTGCACATGATTGGATGATGGAAGTCAGCAGAGCTTCCCCTCATTTCCTAAGCTTTGGAATAAATGCAGAGTGCAACTGCATTTGCAAAGTGCACAGTCTATTTGCCTTTAGTAAATCCACCCTTATGTTATATTGGTAAATACAAACTGTCCGAATAGCTTCTGCCACTTTGTGTGTGGCAAGAACTCTGCAGAAATGCCGACTCTGAATGCACACTGTAACGGACCGCCTGGCACCCCGTCTAGGTGTTCCATCAGAGAACTGCTTCCTTGCCACTGGGACACAGGAACTAGGTATTATAGCTGGGCATTGCACCCAAGGACCAGACAACACTAGCTTAGGTGCAGCTGGAATGCTTTTTTGAACAGAAATACAGGTTTTTATATACTTCAGAAACAGGGGCAGTCCTCACATGAACAATAAAAACA